AAAAAAAAAAAAGGCGGGGGGGAGAGTTAAGTTAAAGCAAAATAATATAATCAAAATGTATGTACCTGGTCGCTTACAGAGTTGTTGTGTTGCGTGTTTGTCTATATGTGCACACAAACACATGGATATGGCATGCCTGTGTATATGTGTCTATATACATCTATATGTTTATAAATAACCTAATGAATATGTGTGTGTGTGTGTGTGTGTACACACTAACAGGGGACTTTTACAATGCCTTAACCGTCTGGGAGACCTGGCGTTAGTTCAGTCCTCCTTGCGTTACGACACGCTGTTGCAATGAAGACGTGCCCCCCTGAAGACAGGTCACGTCACCCCACAAATTCTCCCAGGGGGAGCTACTTTTTATGCTGGCTAGCCAAAAGGGAAGCTACATCAGGTTACAGTTTGACCGTCTTTGAGTATGTGCACCTCTCTTTCATAACGGCAAGCTGAAGCCAAGTTTTAAAGGGAGAACATGAGATTCAAAACCTGATTACGCTTGTATAAAGGTGCAAGAAGATATAGTGGTGGGGTGGCTAGTTTCTGGCAGGTTTAAAAGTCTCTTTTGGGTTTCCATTTGTAACTAGTCATCTGCTGGGGAGATCAGAGGGTTGCTTTGGTGAGAACCTTTTAAAGCTTTGCATCCGCTAGGGGCTCTTAATTTCAGTGAGGTTGCTCATATGCTTAAAATTCAAGAGCGCTCGTGTAATGGAGCAAAGAATTGGTAGATAAAAGCACTGAGGGAGCCTGAATAATCTGAGAGTTTCTATGATCTTTGAAGAGGCTGTGCATCTGCGCGTATTCTTGCTTTCACGGCTCTGGTGAAGGACAGAAAGGTGCCTTAGCTTGCCGTTTCAGGTTTGTATTTAGAGTGTATTTTAACTGATATGCTGTACTTTAGAATATTGAAATCTGACTTTTTTCTGTTTTGTTTGGTTTTTCTTAAATATAGGAAGAAATAAGAAGCAGCAGATTATCCATACAAAACAATGGGAAGACCCTAAGTGAGCTCATTCACAACAATCAGGTATTCTTGAGCACAGTTTAAAGAAAAAAGTCATCTTTTTCATGGCTGAAATAGCTGATATTAGAAAGACTTAGACAAAATACTGAGGTACAGATACAAGGGATAACACAAGAAAAACTCTTTGCTGCAGAAATTTTTAATCTGTGAATCTGAATTTCCTTGGATGACTACTAACTTCAATGCCAAATTTCAGTTTTATCACCCTGAAGAATACTTATTTGCATGTCATATCACTTAAGTTTAAAAGGAACTCTCAGATCACTCTAGGAATCATTGCTCTGAGCCTGCCTGTCCCCAGTTTAGGTAAGATAGGTCATAAATGCACAGAATCCATACTGAGCTCATTTGAAATTTCTGATGTCGCACCATCAAACAGAGTGCAGGCTGATTGGGTCTCCCACCTCGTAAAACGAGCAGTAGCAGTACTTGGAGGGGAAACCTACTCAGAGAATTGCCAGAAAGTTGTGCTAAGCCCTTGCTTCGTTAGAGGATTCTTTCTTTTGATTCAGTCAGGACTCACCTGTATCATATGGCATTTAGTACCTTGGGTGTTAAAGTGCAAAAGGAGAAGTAAAAAATTTGTGATTCTGAAAAAAACAAAGTCTTAACAATAAGGGTTTAGGCTTTTGGCCATATTTAAAAACTGGTTGTTTTCTATATGTATGTTTTGTACACTAGCTTAACTTTTTAGAGTTTGCTTTCTGTTCTGCCATAGTGTCTACTTTGCAGCTGTTAGTCAGTGCATGGGATAAGAGTAAATTATATTCAACCATGAGTATGTGGGAGGAAATTTCAGGGAGAAAATAATGCAAAGTGGTGTATATGTATTCATATATGTATAGCACTCCACATGAATGTTATGAGTTATTGGAAAAATGATGTCTGTAACAAATTTAGAAACAAGTTTTTATTCAGTCTCTTCTGAATCTTGATCACTAATCTAATTTTCAAATTATTTAGATGAAACAGGCCTTCCTGCTAAGCCTGGTAAGTTTACAAAAGATGTAGAAATGCAGTCTTTTCTTTCTTATTTAAATATGGCAAAGTATTTTAAGTATTTTTCCCTTTTTTTCCTTCTTTTTTTTTTTCTCTTTTAAGTCTAGTGTGCATCCTGATACCGACAATATAATTCCTGTTTTGTTTAGACCTCCAGGTCAGTTCCCTTCAGAGAAGTTTTTCTGTGTGTGACTGAAGCATCAAAGGGGAATGGCTCATAGTAAATAACAACTGTGATGCTACAGTGATACTCTTCCCGTACAGAAAAAAATGTGTACGCTTTTACTTCTGTTACTAGCCTTTGTCTTGTTTGTTGAAGATTTATTCCCGCAGTGCTCTAGAAGGGGCATTTTACCTGTGATTCATCTGCTCCGCTAGGCAGAAATGGTCTGGCCAGTCTCTATATTTTGGCATTACGTAATGGGTACCCACATACCTTCACATGCAAAGCAGTCCATGATAGTCTAGGTTGTCCCTTGGTGCACGTGGCTACTATATGAACTTAATTGCTGTGGTGGCAGGTAGACTCTGCTTGGGGTGATGTATAGACAAGATACCAGAGAGTTAATCAGACAGAAGAATACTTAAGACTGTTCATTACTTTATGTAAGCACTCACAAGTAGGGCAGCCTTTGTTGCCGCATCTTTGCTTTTGAATGGAGGGAGGAGAAGCAAATTCGCTTCAGAGCTCAGTTATGTAGTTTCTGAGTAGCCGTGTTGAGCGGAGTTCACAAGAGCTTCTTTTGGCCATAAGCTGAGACAGATGCTCTCACTTCTGGAATGAAGATCAGGAGACAAAGATTAGAACTGCAGCTCCTGGAGACGGTGCTGTTTTGGGGGCTAGTGTTTTGTTTTCAGCTGAAATTAGAAGTGGTGATGTTAGGGGGAGTTTTCTTCTCAAAGCCATGAATCTAGACTCACAGCAGTTATTGTTACTGAAATAAAATTGTTCTTCTTTTTAGCCTTCCTGCCCATCTCTCTTCCATTGGTGAGTAGTGATGAAAGATGCCAGTGTGCCACATGGCTTACATATTTTCAAAGCCAGGATTTGGAAAGAGGGGACGGGAGGATTTAGGTTTCTCATTTGTATTTTCAGCACAAGCTTTTTAAAAGAAGTATGAGGTTTGGGAAGGGCTGAGTCACTTTCTAGAAATTGAGCCCTTAAGGAGTCATTTTGGATGCCCAAACTGTTAGCTACCTTGCTTCAGCTGTGTTCAGAGAGATTGTTCTTGCGTGGAGGTCAGCTTTTATATGTAAGGTGCTGAAATTCGTTAGGCGTTGAGAGCAAGGCCTGTTTTTGGTCTGTTTAGTCTCAGAAAAACTGGGACTGCATTTGGAAAGAGTCAGAGCCTAGTGTGCCATTGTTCAGCCCCAAAACGTGAATTTTCTCTTACATAGTTTGTGCATTTGCCAGTAAAAATCGGTGTTGTGAAGAAATGACAAAAGGTGTGAAAATAAATTCTCGTTACAGTTCCTACAAACTCCAATTCATCTATGTTGCACCATTTTGTTTGATAAAATTTGTAGCCGTAATTATATACGCATTTATACATTTAAATGTGTTTGCCTAGGTGTGTAACATATGAGCATACATACTGAGATATTTAATTCCATGTGCAGGTTGCTACATAAATCTGTGGCACTACTAGAAAGGATAATGAAAATCTTAATATCTGTTACATTAAGAACAGTAACAGAATTAACAGAATTATTTAATGTTTACAGCATAATGCTTGTTCATAGATGTGATTAAATTCATCTCTGGCATTAGTAACGGGTACGGTGATCCACTAGTAATAAATGAATTACTGATCCTCCTCTGAGGCTTTGCACATTCTCTGCCCTTCTCTTACTCTACAGTTGCCATATCTTGGTTGACTTTGATGTTCTTTGAGAGTGCTCCACAGCTTGAGGTAAAAGTGTCTTGGTAGGTCAGACCTCAAGCAAGGCTGTAGTTTATAGCTGAAGTTCTTATTCACTGTCTGAACTGGACTAGGAATTGGGAAGTAACTACTGAAATCTCAGATCCTGGGTTAGTTAGATCTAATATCTGTATACCCACTGATCAAAACTGTCTGACCTTTACTCATTCTCTTCTTTAATTATTATTTGTACTGTCTGAGTTATTCTGTTTGCATCTATTTAAACTTTACGGGTACAAATGCATTTTTTAGTTTGTGCAAAAGAGCAACTTGCCCAAATATTCTTGCATACAGTGTTTTAATAACTCTATCTCTGTGTTTACATTGGATAGAGAAAGTGAATATGTCACATCTGTGGCAAGAAAGTTCTATGTTAGCCTAGAACTAAGGTGAGGCCTGGAGCCTTTGACAGGGCTGTAAATAACAGCATAGCAATTCCAACCAACCGCTGCTGACCAGAAACTCCTAGAGTCATCAAAACTAATTTTCCCGTGGGGTTTTCCTCTTAGGTTATTGCTTCATCACTTCAGCTTCAAGCAAGGAGTGCGTTTCTTTGTCAGGTAGTTGTCTCTCTTTCTACATTTACACATCTTTTAGTCTCAATCTCAATTTCATTTTTGCTTATAGTCTCTCCTTTCTGCAGTTCCTGTTTCACACATATACCACTGGATTCACCCTGTTCAATGGAAATGGTACCACGAAGGCTGAAGTATGTGTTGATTTTTATTTTTGGAATAATCTGAATTGTACAGTTACATTTTGAACGTGATTTACAAGTGTATTACAAGTGTACTTACGCTGCATATTTCCTCTGTCTTTTTTAGGAGTACTCTGTTCAACAAAAGCAAGTCTTCTGTGGCTTGGGAGCTATCTCCTATGCAGCATGTATAGGTGTATGTATTTGCTCAGTGACTGTTTATTTAATATGCTGCTGAGGAGTAGGCCCTGAGATAATCACACTGCCAAATATCCCTCAGGGTTGTGCTCTTTATGCCATGGTCTGATGCCTTCCCCCAGAGCTGTTGAGAATAGGAGAGTTTTCTTGATCAGGCATCAGCCAGTACCTTGCTTGGCTTTCTCTGATGCTTCCGCTTATGTCCTTTTCTTTGTTATTTTGCGAGCTTAGAAAAATAGGCGGTAAGGGGAAATGATCAGAGTTTATAAACACAGAATAACTCATTGGCTTGCTGTAGTTGATCTTTGGAAGAGATCTAGCTAGCTCTGAACAAGTGGTGAAAGCTGCGTGCTGCTATGCTGGGTGGAGATAGCTCAGATTCCAGAACCGGTACAGTCATGAAAATATTGCACTGGGTGCAGATTAATTAGCCTTTTAAGAGGGCTAGGTAGCTGAGGGTCAGTGCTGCGGTGAAATAGCTGTGTGGTTTCCAGAGTTTACCGTATCAGAGTAAGCTCTGGTATCCTCATGATACTGCACTGTGGCTGTTGATGTCCCTGGAATGCACTTCCTTACTCTCTACCCTAAACAATGGTCTTTATATGCCTTCTGGTGGAAAAATATGGCCATTCCTGCATTTGTTAGCTGGGCTTTCACCTCTTTCCGCTAGGCAAAACAGTCAGGCCGGTAGTGCTCAGGGGTTACAGAGGTCTGGGGAGGCAGCTGTGCCCGTGGGTGAATGTGGACATTCTTCCCTTTTGTCCTCCAAGGGAAACTCTGAGCTGTATCTGGTGTCCTGTCCATTTATTCCCTGAATAAAACTTCCAGGAAGTGTGCTATGGGAATATAGAATAGGGCTGAAACTACAGACATAGAGGTGTGAATTGACAAGTGCACCAACTGTCTGATTTAGGGGAGAGAGCAGCACGTGTACTGTAGAGGCAGTTAGATGGATATCCAAGAGGAATTAGTGAGAGGTAATTGTTCTCCTTTTCCTCTCTCTGCATACATACTGCTACTGTCCACTACATAACAATCTTTAATACTTTTTTACCATATTAATTCCTATTCTCATATAAAGCAGTGATTACCAAAACCTTTCTCAGTAGCTAGAGAATGCGTGTATTTCTTTGAATTGTTAAACCAAGGCATTTGGTTACTTTTGTAGATGATATCTTAAGTTCTAACTTGCAGACTCCTTTTTCTAAACTGGTGCACATATTGAAATATTTTGTATTTTTTTTAATAGAAGGTGCCTGTTTCCTTCCAATACCTTAGGTTATTCCTATCTTCTTCATGAATCGATACACTTTGAAGAGTCCCTTAACACAGCTGGTTGTCAGAAAACTTTTACCTGCTCCTCTTCTTGGTGAGTGAAAAGAAACCATACATCACACAGCTGGTCTGAGGACCGTTTGCTGCCCCTGCGTGACTGTCAAATTTTCTTGCACTTGCGCACATACGGTCTTCATTGTTTGCTAGCCGCCTTCTCTAACTGCCTTTGCTAGGTACTGTCCTTTCTGTGTGAGAGTTAGTGCTGATCGGTGTAGCTGACCTTTACTGATGTTTGCTAGTTTTTAGTTTTAAAGCTGCAGGACATTGCTCTTACCTTTGTATACATGACATACAACTATTTCTCTTAAAGAAATCCAGGCATGCAGTTGGTGTTTTTCTTTGGCGAGGTGAACTCGGACATTATCCCAAAACCACCAAGACCACTAGGACTGTTAAAGACGGCAGTGACATTAGTATTAACACCACCCAGTGTGGTACATATATGACGCTAGAGTGCAACACAACTCTAGATATGCACTGCCGTAGTCCTTTATTCAGGCTGAGGCTGCTGCTGGCTGTGTAATTGCTGACAGTAGTAAGTGAGTAAGTGAGAGTTGTTACGGCAGAATATTATTAACCTTGCAAGATAGTAGGACTCATTCATTACTGGAACAGCTCCACTGATGAAGTGAAATTGCACCAAGATAAGTTTAACTGTTTAATCACAGAGAATCACATAATGATTGAGCGTGGAAGGGGCCCCTGGAGATCATCTGGTCCAGCTCCCTTACTCAAGCAGGCTCAGCTAGAGCAGGTTGCCCAGCACCATGTCGAGTCAGGTTTTGAATATCTCTAAGGATGGAGACTCCACAACATCTCTGGGCAATCTGTTCCAGTGTTTGATTGCCCTCACTGTAAAAAAAATTTTGTGTATGCTTAAGTAGAATTTCCTGTGTTTGAATTTGTGTCCATTGCCTCTTGTCTTGTCACTGGGCACTGCTGAGAAGAGTCTGGCTCTGTGCTCTTTACATCCTCCCATCAGATATTTTAAACTTTAGTAAGATCCCCCTGAGCCTTCCCTTCTCCAGGCTAAACAGTCCCAGCTCTCTCAGCCTCTCAACAGCTGAGAGATGCTTATATGCCCTTAATCATCTCTGTGGCCCTTCACTGGACTCTCTGCAATAGATCGATATTGATAACTATTTCTTTACTGCCATTGAAAGGAAATCTTGGCCCTTTCTGGGGAGGAACCGATAAACAGATTTCATCTTGTCTGTTCGAAGTTATGTGAGGTGGCTAACGAAACCTGTCTGAGGATCTGAATAAAAGCTTACTGACTTGTTTCCCTTGGAACAGATGTTAAAATGTGCTTCTGTTTTCTTAGGTCTAGAGAGAAACTGCAGGGTAATTGGTTAATATTAGTCCAACATTTGAAAAGTGTCTTGTTTTACACTGATATCTTTATAGAGCAGCCTTGCCAAAAAGTAATGAAAAGAAATCTCTCTTTTCAAAGAAGGTTAGCGCTACAGGCTATGCCCTGTTATGCCTGGATCTTGATCTAAAAAAGAGAAAGGAGAAAAAGAGCTGGATTACAAACTCCCACTCAATATGGCCTCTATATGCATGAGTAGTTCAGGTTCATGATTTTAATGACTGACTGTGGGATGGATGTTTTCAGGCACCTTGTCTTACTGGGTCTAAAGGAGGCTGAAACGTTCTCATCCTGCAGCAGATCTCAAGGATTCGGCTGAAGCATGGCCGTTTGTGACCGAGACATGTGGCTGGGCACAGAAATGTGATCATGGAAAGTATTAGAGCCAGTGTTCCCCGGCACCCTCTCTTCCAAATCAAGGATGCAGCCTTTATCTCAAGCCTCCCCTGTTCAATTTCTTTTCTTACATGTAGGATTTTACACTGACTTATACAAAATCTACGCACAACACAAACCCTTTCCCTTTCTCTTAAGAGCAAAGTGCTCTTGGTTTGAAATAGATGGTAGTGATGAAAGCTCTGAGTGTCCATGCTAATAAAGCAGCTTCTGGGACTGGGGCCTTAAAATCTCTTTCAAGCTTCTGAAACAGGTATTAAGATCCCAGACAGATTTTTATGGGCACTCTCTTCTTCAGCTGCCAGGACATTCAGTTGTGAACTGTTGAGCTGGATGTGTAAAATTGACATAATTATGAATGTTATTACTGACATGGTCTTGTTAGATCAAGCATCTTTTAAAGCAAAATCCTCTTTAACTCTGCAGGCTTGATGAGTGCGTTTACTGTGGCAGTGGTGAGAAGCCCGGAGTTTGAGAACGGGATTGAAGTGATGGACAGGAATGGCAAAGTTGTAGGAGTATCACAGAAGGCTGGTGAGAAGGTAGGCAAAGCTGGGGGCCACGCTTGACTTACGTGGCAAAGAACTGAACTTGAGGCTTAGAGCAGATAAAGTTGGATATACTGAAATGAGGAACTGCTAAGTCTTAACCCCAGATCAGGTGCTGAATCTTTGGGTAAGCTTGCACCAGGCCCCTGGTACCAGGTTGGGGCCTGTCTTTTTTTCTCCAAGGCCCACCTTTGGCATCCCCTCCAGCCCAATACACGCAGTGCCAGAGCTGAACCATACGGATGCAAGTACAGGGGTTTTTATTTTCCCTGGTCACATCAGAAGGAGACAAGGCTCTTGGAGCTTCTCCCTCTGATGGTGCACCTCGGAGAAAAGCCTTGTATTGTACATAGCAGATGCATCTTCTGTAGTAGGAATAAATTTTAAAGACTGTACCTCCTAAAGGATAATGTCCTAATCTACAGTGTGGTAGTGCATTTCCTCCTTGGGGTCCAGCTGTGGAGCAGGAGGTCTCTGTCCACTTGTGCCCTGCCTCATCAGCCTCTACTGTAGAGCCTGGCACAGCAACTAGAGCAAGGAGACTTTTTTTGTGTGCTGTCAGTGGCCCTGCCTTTCCATACTGGTGTCCAGGGGAAGGAGGAAATGGCTAGATGACCATAAAGATGTGTGGACAGCTGGAGAGAGAATTTCAAATTTGATAAGGGATAGGTAAGAGGCCCAGAAGGTATGACCATTTGAAAGGAGTTCAGCACACTTAAAAAAGGCAAGTCTCAGCAGAATGATTGTCATGGTATGAGAACTTGATGTGGCCTCAGTAGTATCACCTCCCTTTTAAGGCATTTATTAGTCACAAGTGGAATATTTGCCACTTGAAGGAGTCCAGCTTCCATTTAAAAAAGAAACCCTCTAACAACCATTTTCACCCTTCCCTTACCTATTGCTTGAAATTCCAGAGTATTAGACAAAAAAGTTCTCACAGAAACATGCAATATTTGGAGTTGCAGGGAGCATTGCTCTGAACAACATTTATTTGTTTCTCCCTCTCTGGAGGCCGTAAAAGAAACGGCATTGTCAAGAGCAGCCTTGTTTGGGACAGCCTTCTCTCTGCCAGCTGTGCTTATGTACTTCGTGGAAAGGTAAGTGGTTTTACAACAGGGTTGGGGGTGCCTGGTTAGTGTGTATTCTGATATTTAGTCTGGCTATTGCCACTTGCCAATATTACTTGCTTTGGTAGAAGTGATTATGTGGGAGGCTTCTGTTCAGGGTAATTCACTCATTTACCTAAGTGAATCTGTTTATGTCAGCACCCTTGCTTTGATTTTTATTGCAGGAGGTTGTCTAAAGCTATGAGGAGTTCCTCTGTTCTCCTGGGCAGGCAACATGTTTGTCTGTGCTCTCCTGACAGGCCATTTTCGAGCACCTAGGTTCCCTGTTTTGAGTGCTGCTGTCTGGTATCAAGGTTGTTCCCAGCACTTACCTTAGATTTGTTATTCCTCCAGAGATAATACGGGACTTGAATTTGTCACTAAAACTGGACTTCACCTTCCACATAGCTTGCCATACGTTGTAAGCCCTTTTGTGGCTTTTGCAACATTTAAAAACCCCATATCCTGAGAAGAATTCACTGCATGTTTTATCAGAGAGTTTTTAGCTTGCCTTCAGTTTTTGGTGGGGATCACATATGTCATGTTAATTAGCTTTAGGGAATCCTATTATCAGAAGACATAAATGCAGATGCAAGATAAATTTAAAAAATATATGGAGTAATAAATTTTTGCGTGATGTTAAGTAGGACTGCCAAGATGAACTAAGTCTTAAAGGAAAGAGAAGGTGATACAGGAAAAATCTGAGTCAAAGGACTAAAATACCTTAAACCACTAATGCACCTTCTCTTCTTTTGTCATTTTGATATTGCTGCTTACATTCCTGATCTCGTATTGTCGTTCTGGTCTCAAGAAATGCTGCAGTTAAAGAAATTCAGAACAAAGGGAAAGAACAGGAGGTTGGGTGTACAAAATTAGGAAATAAAATAAAGCAGCACCTTTAGAATTCATAAGCCTAAGTTATTACTAACTTTAGTGCAGTTTCAACCAGTAAAAAAGTAGCTAACGCTCTTTATTTCGTCATCAGATTATTTTTTCAAGCCAGAACTGACCTACTTATCTTTTCCATATCTTTGAAAGAACAAACTTTGCAAAAACTCCACGTGCTTTGGCTTCAATGAGAATGATGATGATTACATCAGTACTTGCAGGGATGCTACCAGTTTCACTTAGTATGTTCCCACAGTGTGGGGAGGTAAGTCCTTTCACTGGAACTGATTTAGGATTATTGCTATATTAAATAGTCTGTAACTATGGGCAGCGATAGAAGCCCAGGTAGCAAAAATCAGTAGGATTAAAATGGTTAGTGTGTCCAAAATGGGGTGGTGAAAAGGCTGCTTGGAAAGGCCTGTGTACGATGTAGAGGGTTACAGGACTTGTTATGTCTAATTTGCATTGTGTATCACTTATAATTACCCTTATCAGTCTAAATTTATTAGACTTCTGCAATAGCTTGAAGCAAGCAAGGCCGGTAGAGCTTTCTTAAAGATTAAAACCAAGACACTCTCAGCACTCTCTTCAGTGCTGCTGGAGTTAGTTAGGTCATAGATGAGAATCTTTTCTTTCGTGCAAAGTCAGCATGAGCTCATCAAAGAGGTAAACCAACTTACCTGTGTCATCCCTTTCCTCTAGCTATGCAAGGTCATCTCTTTGCCCTGCCTTACCAAACCATTAAAATAATATGCTCCCTGGGTAACTACTCCTTTCTGGAAGGTTTCAAAGGGAGGCTGTAACCCTTGGAGCTTTGGGCTTTAGAGAGGGCCAGGTGAGAGGAGTTTGGGATGCTTCTTCTGAGGTTGTTTCCTCTCCTTTACCAGCGCTGTGTGAATATTCTCAGAAAATCATAAAGACAGCTCTTGCAGTTTCCAATGGCTTCTCTTAGCCTAAGAGCTCTGGCATTCTTTTCTTAACCTCTTTTGGCAACAAGGGTAAACTGGACATAAATGATGGGACTTTTGAGAAATTATGTACTGAGAATATGGCTGGTTTGTTTCATTTGAGCTTCCCAATTGCTTAACTCACAGCAGAAGTTCTCCTAGGTGAGTCACTCAAACACAGTGAATAAGGACAGCTCTGATTAGATATCAGGAGTACCTCTAACTTTAAGTAAAACACATTTCTTCCTCTATGTTTACATTTCTAGAATATGTCAGAGAAGCAAAAAAACCAACCAACCAAACCCAAAACAAAGACCTCAAATCTCTTACAGTCTTGTTTCTGAATACAGTATTTCAACTAGTATAAAGTTTGAAGTACAGAAGATTTAACGTGTACTTACCGGGATAGGGTGTTGCTGATTCCCTTTTTCCAAAAATTTCAGATAAAGCGAGCAGACCTGGAACCAGAAATTCTGGCATCTACAGAAGAAACAGAATTATTCTATAATAGAGGAATTTAGGAATCAGCTTTAATGTATAAATGTGTACTCTGATTAAGGTGAGCTCCGAATGCCCCAGCAAACTCAATGGAATACTTGACTGATCAAATCATGAGTGTAGTGAGAGAGCGCCTGCTGGATTTGGTGAACAATGATGTGGTCTATAGGTAGGCAGACTTTTAAGAGGAAGACTTGTTATTTGCAAGTCCCAGCCTACAGGCAGGTGTGTACACACACCTTCATGTTTTAAGTGATACTTGTACCAGAAAGTTTTGTTGTAACAGTGTGTGTGTGTCACAAACTGTGTTCATTATGCTTCTTCATGTGTTTGATTTCTTAATTAAAAGATTGTGATGATTGAATACAAATTTTTATTTTTCTGTTGCTGCTTCTTTGGATATGCTGCTTTCCAGGAACACAACTGGTAAAGGCATTAATGCCAGTAGTTCTTAGAAGAACCAGCTTGACTTTCCTCACAGAAAACTTATTTTTAATGTATGGTGGTATTAGACAAAACAACCCTGATAGCAGTGTAATGTTGGTTAAATTTAGTTGTTGTGGAACTTCCTTCTATGTAGTTCCTACATCTCTGGTAGGAGACCCTCTTATTGTGATAACTATAGGCAGATCGTAGGAGAAATTATTCCAAGAGCACTAAGGATGTTATGTACAGCACTCTTAAGTGCTTTATGTGACCACGATAAATATAGACTAAATAATAATCACTTTCACAGAGATAACTTTACAGGTACAACCTCCGAAATCTGTATTTATTTAACTTTCTTAAAGAGTGCAATAAAGAGCTCACTACTATCCTATTGCTAGAAAATTTAGATTTCTTTTATGGTGTGAGGAGACCAACAATTTCCCATTCCACTCGATCCCTACAGGAAGACAGCAGCGCAGAGCAAAGTACGGAAAAATAGCAGGTGCAGTCACTTGCAGGAAAACAGTTACTGCTACTTTTTTGCCGCCAGACAAAAGCAGGAAGTAGGGTTTTGAGTTTAACTTCTTGTGTGAGTTCTGTCTTTTGTGAGCCTTCCCCTACTGGAGTGGTTAGGCAGAGAAACGGAACAGGCGAGTAGGAGCACATCCTCTAGGCCTGTTACTTTAGGGGAGCGTGCTATAAAGTTGTTCCAGGAAGACGGTATGGATACATACCCTGCTATGCCCGAGCGTGAAAGAGTTTGCACTGCTCCCCAAGAGGATAGCTGTGAATTTTTAAAGCTCTGTCAGGTAGTTCTCTCGTGGTCCAGTCTCACATACCCCAGGTAGAGGCAGGGGAAGAGTAAACCCCCTCTGACCCAGCAGCAGATGCACTGTGTGAAATGTGCTGAAAGTTAGCTACCATGAATGCTTATGAAACTCTCTGCAGTGTCAAAGATTCATTTACCCCTGCTGGCTCAGCAGGGATTGCTTAGTCTTGTACCCTTGTGGGTCATGTTCCTAAGTAAATAGTCAAATCATATCTGCATAAAAGCTGCTATACTGGGTCAGACCAAAGGTCTACCTAAACAAATGTCTTGTCCCTGACAGTGGCCAGAAGAGGATACACAAAGAAGAGATGACATCAGGCTCAGTTGTCCTGAGCTGGGGGGACACTAGGAAGGAGGAGGCTTGCCCTGTTCTTTTTCCTTAGATAACACCTTCTGGCCACTGTTGGACACCAAGCCCTGGGCCAGGTGGAACCCTGTCAGCAGCCAGCTGAGACAGACTTACAATCCCAGCCACCTTCTCTCAGACAATGAAGTGTTTGTCTCCTTCCAAATATTTAATAGTGGTGGCATAGCTAACACCTCGCAGCTCAAACCTCTAAAGCTCAGTCTCTCTATTAATCCTGTTTTGGTAACATACCAAAGGCATATTAAGGCAGCGTCTAATTCCACTCCCAGTAAATACAATTGTCACTACAAGGAAGACCCCTCTCTTCCCCCCACCCCCGCACATTCGTGCCTGTTTTATGTTATTTAAGACCAGCTGAAGTAAATGCTAGTTGCATGAGCTACGTTGGAAGCAAAGCAGAAAAGCTGACAGTAGAGGAGGGTCAACAGACTTGAAGATAATATGTGAATCAACTTTAAATTGTCATGGTAACTAGAAAAGCTGAACATTCCCTTGCACCACACGTGGGTGATTTAGGCAAACTGATGCTATTACATCTCTGTGAGTAAGGCTTATAGAGTAAGTCTGGTAATGCTGGGTTATTACAGCTGCCCATTATCAAACTCTACCAGCTTCTTACTGAATACTCTAGGTGAAATTTGCCGTGTTAAATACAGCCCTCTCAGGGTTACTAAATGCATCTTTCCTTTCCCTTGTTCTCAGAAATGTTTCTGTTGCCCTGACCAGACTTTTCCAGAGGAACCTGAGGCAGGCATCTGCCATTTCAGTTGTCAGCCTGGGTGATTCAGCTGTTTCCCCGGTCAAAGCAGGGAAAATGTATCACTAAAAAGGCCCTGGCATCCTTGGTTTTGAAATAAAGACAACATGAGACTAGCACTGCCCGGACCTGACACCTGGTAGTCCAGAGGGACAGGTTCTGCAGGTAAGTGAGGGGAACAAGACTGGGACAAGTAGAAAGTTATTATGCTGGAGGGACTCGCAAGGAGAGTCAGCACCTAGAAAGAAAGCTTCTCCTTCATAGCCTGGAGTAGATTAACAATGTTCCAGCCCAAGGCAGGTCTGTCTTCTGCCTTTAGCACTGGTCAGTGTATTGAGTGATAACGTATTAGGGGTGGAACTAGTTTAAGGAGTAGTAAACTACAGTCGATTTAGAGCTTTCAGCTTCAAGGAAAACGTAAGAGTCCCTGTACAGTGCAAAACGCTAGCAGCTCCCCACCTCCCCAGCTTGTCATCTTCAAGTTTAGGAACATACCCTGAGGCTTTGATGTTCTTTTAACATAGGTTAAAAAAAAATCAGCCACTCCCATATTAGGAAATCGCAAGATCAAAGCGTTTCCTCAGCTGGAGCTTGTGTGCATGTGGTTATCCTGCCAGCCTATAACACAGCCATACCCTTTTCCCTCCAGGCCATGAAAGTGGATGAAGGAAGGAGGTAGGTGGGGAGGGAATCACACACAGCGCTGCAGCTACTTCCTTATCACACAGCAAGCAACGCACAATGTGCTGCACACCGCTGCTCAGAGAGGGGCTGCTGCCCCAGCCCTCGAGGCTCCTCCTGGCTCTCCTACATCATGCAGCAGCTGCAAAAAAATGACCTGACCTGATCAAAGCAGTGATCCATCTGACCCAGACTCGAGGCTGACAGCTGCCAAGGGAAGAGTGTAAGACAGTAGGGGACAGCTGTGAACATCCTTCACTTAGCTTCGTAGCTTGTTCTTTACCTAGAAATTTAGCTGCTTCGGATGACTTCTCACAACACACTGTTAACAATTTATTATCCCTTTTGCTAACTGGGGAACTGAAATGGGCAGAGGTAAAGATCAGAAGCAGCCAGTAATTAAGATGGACGCTGCCAGGCATCCTGCGTCACTTGTTTCCACAGTGCTCAGCGTTATATCGCTCTCATTCAGAGCATCCGCCCTCCCCCGTGTGCCTGCAGAGGCAACAAGGCCAGCTCACACCAGGAACTAAAACCCCAAGAATGACAGCATTAGCAGCAAGGTATAGTTAGCCTGAAGGGACTAGCCTAGTTTATATAGCAAAATTACAACGTAAGGGCTTGACTGTTTACCCTACAAGATCTAGATCTCCATCGTTCACTATCACCTTCCCGTTTCTGTAAGTGCAGCTCACCTAGGCAATAAGCAAGGAGGAGTGCGCGGAGCAGTATCTTTTCCTCAACTGAGGAAAGAACAGTGATACAGGCTGGAAAGAAGGCATTGAGTTAGTTTAGGAGCTGTGTGCCTTCTGGAGTCTTACTAGGTCAGCATGAACTGTCATGCATCATTTCGTATTTAATCAACAACAGAAAGGCAATAACATGAGAAGGTATGAATGCCAGCTTGCATCGTCTTTGCTACTAGGAAGAAGAAGAGAGGATATCATCCGAGTTTGCAAAACCAACAACTGTACACACAAAAAGTGTCTGCTTGCACGTTGGAGATGTATCCCATGGGAAAAGGGAGTGAGAAATAACCTGAAATCTTTCCCTGTCCTGACCTTCCAGATTTTTCTGTTTTATTTTAATCCCTTTTTGAGATGAAACAGTGTCAAAAGTCATTATGAAAATGCAAGAACATTAGGACAATCCTTTGAAAGTACTGAAGCTGAGGGAGGCTGATACATTTCACTGTACATCCAAGACAGTCAGCAAAGATGACACAACTATTTGAACATGTGAAGCAGTATGTTTCCAACCTAACTATCAAGCTGTAGCTTACTTTCAAATCCCAGTATTGCAAAACATAAGATCTAAGTCCTGTGACTCAGTGGCCACAACTACTCAAGAAAAAAAAATTAAAAAGTAGGCTGTTCAGGTTTTTTTTTTTTTTTTAATAGGCATGAGCATGCTGTGAGTCCAGTTCCTTAAGTGCAAAATTATATTTCATTTGTTTTCACATAAATGTTAGAATACAAGATCTAACACAAACACTGAGATTTTCAACTTAGAAGATTCCAAAACAGAAAGCAAAATAAACATTGGATGTGTAGTTTGTAACTGAGCTTCTCTGCTTTTTGTGGTTGTCTTTAACACCCACACCTACCTTAATTAGACACCTTAAGGCTTTTTGTTAAAAAGAAACTATGTGAATTTCTTCACAGTAACCATGTGGCATTAAGACATTTGAGTCAAAGCGTGTTCAGGTTTTTCTTAGTGAGAGACTTGTGTTTCAGTAGACTTTAGAACAGGTCCTGAAAGTACCTCTTTCATGATAATCTTGCAGTATTGCCTTCGTGACTATTATAAAAGTCCTGAAACAAAGACAGCAATGCCAAAGAAACATTAAGAAAAAATAATAATACACAAATGGGGAAAAAGCTGAGCACTTATAGGCAAATGAAGGCAATTGCAGTATTTTTTTTTGAGAGAAAAAAACAACAAAAAAAAACAAAGTACGTACTTCTCTCTTCAGAATTTGAGCTACCAAGTAGATGTTTAAAGTAGAATTATACACCCCTGAAAATAGGGGGTATTTTGAAGTGCTTTCATTTACTAACTGTAATAACTAGCCATTTTATACATAGTTGTCACATTCCTGATCCACATACTAAAATAGATTTCCCTAATATATGATACATAGCAAAAGGATGACCCTTTTTCAACCTAATATTGCTTGTCCATAACTAGTGATGAACTCTAACAGTTTCAGAATAGCAAACCTCCAATTATTTAACAATATAAATATTGATTACTAAAGTTTTAATCATAAGTATAAAATCTCTATGTAAAACCACATGCTACAGCCTATCTGTACAAAGGCCAGGAAAAAGGTTATTTTTTCATATAACAAAGTGCTACTGCAGAATTGACTGAGTTTTGTGGATATTTATGAAGAAATAAAAATTGTTTG